GAAGATAGTAGCTGCAGCCACCGGGAAAAAAGGGTGCAAGTATTGCGTTGTGGGATGGGGTGCATGTCTTCTAACTCGTATTTGTTTTGTGTGTTCTCTGAGTGTGGTTGCCTCTAGGTTGGCCCATGGGTGGAAGTTCTCCCAAGTTTGAGGCTTTCAGGGTGGCCATGGGTAGAAGTTACAAAAGTGTGGGGTTTCCATGGTGGTCAAAAGTGGAAGTTCTCCAACTGTGGAGCTCCGAGAGCAGGCCATAGGTTGAAGTTGTCCAACTGTGGCGTTTCCAGAGGAGGTCATAGGTAGACGTTCTCCAAGTGTGGGCTTCTATTTTGTCCATAGGTAGACGTTCTCCAACTGTGGGGCTTCTAGGGGAGGCCATAGGTAGACGTTCTCCAAGTGTGGGCTTCTATGGTGTCCATAGGTAGACGTTCTCCAAGTTTGAGGCTTTCAGGGTGGCCATAGGTAGAAGTTCCAAAAGTGTGGGGTTTCCATGGTGGTCAAAGGTGGAAGTTCTTCAGCTGTGGAGCTCCGAGGGGAGGCCATAGGTTGAAGTTGTCCAACTTTGGGGCTTCCAGGGGAGGCCATAGGTAGACGTTCTCCAAGTGTGGGGCTTCTATGGTGTCTATAGGTAGAAGTTTCTCCAGCGAGGTCATCGGAGGAAGTTCTTAAAGTGTAGGGCTTCCCTGGTGGCCAAAGTTAGACATTCTCAGTGTGTAGACTTTCAGGGTCTCCTTAGATAGATGTTCTAATGAAGAGAGTAAAGATCTGGCACCAGGATGTCTTGACATTAAAAAAGTGATATCTTTATTCCATCAAACCATAAAAAGGAATTGATTCCTAAAAGTTTACGTGTTTCAGCCTCCTACATTGGCCTTAGTCATAATAGTAATAGGTAGAAGTTCTCCATGTCTGGGGCTTTCAAGGAGGCCATAGGTGGAAGTTCTCTAAATATAAGACCTTCAGGGTGCCCATAGGTGGAAATTTTCCAGGTGTGAGGCTTTCAGGGTGTTCATAGATGGAAGTTTCCAAAATGTGGGGTTTTCATGGTGGTCAAAGGTGGAAGTTCTCCAACTGTGGGGCTTCCAGGGGAAGCTATAGGTAGAAGTTTTCCAAATAGGGGACTTCTAGGAGAGGACATAGGTATAAGTTCTCCAAGTGTGGGGCTGCTTAGGTGTCCATAGGTAAAGTTCCCCAGCGAGGCCATAGGTAGAAATTCTCCAAATGTGGGGTTTCCCGGGTGGCCAAAGATAAAAATAGTGAGTGGGCTTCTCGTTGGCCATAGGTAGAAGTTGCCAGTCTGGAGCTTTCATGGTGGTCATAGGTTGAGGTCCACAATGAAAGCCCCAGACTTGGAGAACCTCAACCTATGACCACCATGAAAGCTCCAGACTGGCAGAACTTCCACTTATGGCCACCCTTAAAACCTACACATGGAGAACTTCCACCTATGACCACTCTGAAAGCCCCAGACTTGGAGAACTTTCACCTATGACCACACCCCGAAAGCCCCAGACTTGGAGAACTTTCACCTATGACCACCCCGAAAGCCCCAGACTTGGAGAACTTTCACCTATGACCACCCTGAAAGCCCCAGACTTGGAGAACTTTCACCCATGGCCTCTCTGGAAGCCCCAGACTTGGGGAATTTCCACTTATGGCCACCCTGACTGCCTTACACTCGGTTAACTTCCACTGATGTCCGCAGTGAAAGCCCCAGACTTGGAGATCATCGGTGGAAGTTAACCGAGTGTAAGGCAGTCAGAGTGGCTATAAGTGGAAATTCTCCAAGTGTGGGACTTTCTTGAAGATCATAGGTGGAAGTTCCGAAAGTCTGGGGCTTTCGGGGTGGGCATAGGTGGAAGTTCCCCAGCGAGGCCATAGATAGAAATTCTCCAAGTGTGGGGCTTCCCAGGTGGCTAAAGGTAGAAATAGTGAATGGGCTTTCTCGTTGGCCTTGGGTAGCAGTTCTTCAGGGAGGCCATAGGTAAATGTTCTCCAAAACCTAGCTCTGGTTATTTTGTAATCTGAAAAATCCAGTATAAAGGAAAAGCAGAAGATTGTTTTCGGACTGTCAGAAATTCTAATTCTTGATATCTTGCTGTTAAAAAAAAAAAAAAAAAAAAAGACTTTTTTATCTGCTTCTAGATGAACTCAGGAGCAGAATGGAGAAGAGTCCGAGTCCACCTCCCTCCTTCACACCTCACTACCCACAGAGTATTAAACAAGAAGCCGAGGATTCTCCACGTAGTTTTGCTGAAGATGACTACAGAGACCAGCGTGATGATACAGACTATTACGAGGCCCGGCAGTACTTCAAGGAGGAAGGAGAGGACAGCACCCACCAGGAGGACCAGGTAGACCCAACAGTCTCCACAATTGTGATACATTTTTTTTACTATATTCCAATGTTGTCTTTTTACGACCCTTGGCGACTAATAGATATTCTGCTGTTTAACCCTCAGCTAGATGATTCCGGCCACGAGGTGGCAACGCAGACAGAGCAAGCGGATGAGATGCGGATCAAAGAGGAGCAGGAGCCTGTGGATATCGATGCTGGTAAGTGGAGCTGCAGATTATACCACCTTGGTTTTTGAAAACAGCTTGGCTCAATACGAATTTTGTTCAGAATAGAATGAGAATGAAGTTCCAACGCTTGAGAAGGGCTCTGGGAAGGGGAAGCTGGCCAAGGTCATTTGGGGTGGGGGGGCCAGGTATGCATTAGAACACTGATCAGTTGCATTCCCGCCCTGTCAGAGTTGAGACATTCTTTTTTGTGAAACCCTGTTCACGTGCCTTGTATTAAGAGAAATGTGAGTTTGGAACAGCGGTACATGATAAAAAATTTTTTGTGAAATTGGGTAAAAGTGCATCAGAAACTTTGGAAATGGTATGGAGAAGCTGCGCTATCATCTGCACAAGTCTACCAATGGCAGAAGGTCTTCCAGGAAGGATGAGAAGGTGTTGAAAACAAACCATGATCAGGATGTCGCTCTTCGTCAAAAATGGAAAACGAACCATGATCAGGATGCCCCTCTTCGTCAAAAATGGAAAACGAACCATGATCAGGATGCCCCTCTTCGTCAAAAATGGAACAGAATGTGGATTCAGTGAGGTCTGTTCTCAACCGTGATGGACTGCTCACTATCAGAATGCAGAGGAAAAATGGAATTACTGAGTCAATTGTTCATGAAATCGTGACTCACGATTTGAACATGAGAAAAATGTGTTCAAGGAACTTGTCACCTGATCAGAAGGAACATCGGCAACTCGTTTGCCAAGATCTGTTTGCCCGTTTGAGAAGAGAGCCTGATTTTGTGAGTCGAGTGATCACGGGAGATGAATCCTGGGTGTTTGTGTACGATCCCCAGACAAAGAAACAAACTTCACAATGGTACACACCCACGTCACCTCACCCCAAGAAAACTTGAATGAGCAAATCAAAAGTCAAGTCAATGGTCGTGTATTTTTTTTTGATTCATGTGAAATTGTCCATAAGGAATTTTGTACCTACTGGTCAAACTGTGAATCAAAAGATTTTACCTGGAAGTTCTTGGACGCTTGAGACAAAGTTTTTTGCGTCCTTGGATCTGTTCAACTTGGATCCTTGATCACAATGCTTTGGCTGTCAGAGAGTTTTTGGATGCAAAACCCATCTCGGTGCTTCTCCATCCACCCTACAGCCCCAAATTGGCTCCCTGCAACTTTTTCATATTCCCAGAGATGAAGAAGGGTTTGAAAAAGACGCCATTTTGGTAGTGTGGATAACGTCCAAAGAGCCACTATGCAGGCTCTGAATGCCATTCCACTTGAAGACTTCCAGGGATGCTATGAAGAATGGAAAAAAAAATTGCTGGGAGCGATGTGTGTACCTGCAAGGTCCACAAAACAAGGAGCGCCTAGTCCTGCTATAACTTGGGGATAAATACTCCACTCTGAAAGTTCAAGGTACGCCAGGTAATATGCATAAAGTGTCACCAGGTGACCAGGGAGAGGACATCAGCCGCCGGGGACACCAAACCTTTGCCCGCCGTGGCCGGAAGTGACGTCAGCAGAGGGTCACGTGCCCTGATGAAGGGGCTTGCCCCCGAAACGTGGTCATTTGATTCCACCAGATCATGTTCTGCTTTGTCTCATTGCTCCACATCCCCACTATTTATCATCGATTATCAACTCCAAGATTGGCCCCATCTCTAGGTGATTCCAGCCCTGCTCACACCATCTACTGGTGCCCTTACTACATCCTTCTAGATCTTCTTCCGCCCTCATCCTGCATCACTTTTGGGCCGAGGTTTAGTTTTCCCAGGTGGCTGGTGTCACCACAGTTCATCTCCCTGGTCACCTGGAGATCAATTCTCCCACCAGGCTCTGGCATCTTCCACCCAATGGGGCTTGCGAGTCTTAGGAATCCATCTTGTGAATTCGTTTTTCTGGTACGTGGCTGCTCATATGACTTTTTTTATAATAAAGTTGTGATGTTTTATGCATATTGCCTGGCACTTCTCGGACTCTCAGAGTGGAGTAGTCACCCCCAAGTTGCTGCAGGACCGGGCACTCCTTTGTTTTGTGGTTTTTTTTTTTTTTTTTTTTTTTTTAACTCTCATCACTGGTCAGTTGGGTGAGTGAGTAGACTAACTTCTTGGCTTCCCACACACATCCCCACTATCTACCATCGACAATCAACTCCAAGATTGGCCCCAGCTCTTGGTGATACCATCTACTGGTGCCCCTTACTATATCCTTCTAGATCTGTTTCCGCCCTCATCCTTCATCACTTCCGACCCTCTGCTGATGTCACTTCCGGCCGCGGTGGGCCTAGGTTTGGTGTTCCCGGTGGCTGGTGTCACCGCAGTTCATCTCCCTGGTCACCTGACGATCTATTGTGGCACCAGACAAGCTCCCCTCTCCATGTGTAATTCTGTACACTCGCAAGGCGCGTACTTTAACCACCTCCCGTCTGGCCGTTGTATATAAACGGCTGGATGGTGGCAGTGCAGGGTCGGGTGGCCGTTTTTATAAACGGGCTCCCCGCACCCTGCTTGTGCGCGCTCCCTGGGAGTGTGCAGCACCGCGATCTGGTGCCCGCTGGACACAGTGATACACAGATCGTTGGACGGGACCTCTGTACGAGGTCCCGATCATGTGATCACTTATTGGCCAATCAGTGATCACATGCAGAGTAGTAAGCAATGATGTCACTTGTGACATCATTGCTTACTACGTGTGAAATCTGTGAATGATCACAGAGGTCACATGGTACAGGACTATTCACAACAGCCTTGTACCATGTGACAAGCTGTGACCAATCACAGCTCACTCAGTAGTTCTCAGTAGTGCAGCCAGAGAGAAAGAGAAACGATTGCTTTTACACCCATATAGGATGTAAAAGCAATCAGTGTAAAAAAATAATCTTCATCACCCCTCACAAGTAGTACAGTGTCACACTGCTAGGGTGACAGTATGTAAAAAAAAAACCCCATAAATAATAATATAAAAAAATAAAATAAAAATAAAAAAAGTTTAAAAGTTATAATTTTTGGTTATAAACTAATTTGGCTTTTTTTTTTTTTTTTTTTTACTAAAAAGATAACGGAATAAATTTTGGCCAAGATTTATGATGAAATACTATTTATTTGCAAAAGTTTATAAGAAAAACACTTTTTTTCAAAATTTTTGGACATTTTCATTTACATTGCAAAAAAAAAAAAAATCCCAGTGGTGAATAAATACCACCAAGATAAAGCTTTATCTGTCTCAAAAAAATGCTAAAAAATTCATATGGGTACAGTGTTGCATGACTGCGCAATTGTCATTCAAAGTGTGATAGCACTGAAAGCTGAAAATTGCCCTGAACAGGAAGGGGGTAAAAGTGTCCGGAGTGGAAGTGGTTAAAGGAGACTGTTCAATTGGAAAAAATTTTTGAATGAAATAATTTTGAAAATATTCTCATCACTTTCTGGACACATCTTGTATGATAGACACCATCACTGAAAAGGATTTTTTTTCCCCCTTGTGCGAATTAGAATTAGGTCAGATATCCTCTCCATTCCGGAACTTTCAGTTCTAGAAGAATTGGGTGAGCAAGTCATCTTGTGTTTTATCCATAAAATGTCTTCGTTGTAGTTCCTGGCTTTTCCCCTACATTATTTTGAAGGGGTATCTCCACCTATCTCGGGGTGTTCCCCTGCTCCTGTAGACAATTGGTACAAAAATGAAAGCTCAACTCCAGCCAAAACTTCTGACATCATTGCTTACTACGTGTGAAATCTGTAAATGATCACAGAGATCATATGGTATAGGGCTATTCACAACAGCCTTGTACCAAGTGACAAGCTGTGACCAATCACAGCTCCCACAGTATTTCTCAATGGCTGCAGGAATGCAGCCAGAGAGAAGGAGAAATGATTGCTGTTACAGCCTTTATGGGTGTAAAAACAATGAGTGTAAAAAAAAAGAAAATCTTCATCACCCCCCACAATTAGTACAGTGTCACTATGGTGACACTGTACTGCTATGGTGACAGTATGTTTAAAAATAAATAAATAAAATAATATAAAAAAATAAAATAAATGTAAAAAAAATTTTTTTTCAATTATGATTTTTGGTTATAAACTAATTTGGGTTATTTTTTTTTACTAAAAAGATAATATATTTTGGCCAAGATTTATGAAGAAAGATGATTTATTTGCAAAATTTTATAAGAAAAACCCTTTTTTTCAAAATGTTTGGACTTTTTCATTTATATAATAAAAAAAAAATCCCAGTGGTGAATAAATACCACCAAAATAAAGTTTTATCTGTCTCAAAAAAATGCTAAAAAATTCATCTGGGTACAGTGTTGCATGATTGCACAATTGTCATTCAAAGTGTGATAGCACTGAAAGCTGAAAATTGGCCTGGGCAGGAAGGGGGCGAAAGTGTCCGGACTTGAAGTGGTTAAATGTAACCTTCCATTTTCATCGCATACTTATTTTACATCTAGTGATGTCATCACTGGGTCCCTGTGCTTCTCTTTGCAATGAAAGCAGATCATGCCTCGGTGGGAGGAACCGGCAGAGTCCTGAAATCATCACAGCGCCCTTCAACAGTACTTCTCTGGATCCCTCAGCCCTGATCAAAGCAAGCAGTGGGCTGGCTGTTGGGAGGTGTTTATGCAAATCTAAAAGTGCCTTGATGGGTGGATAGGAGTCTGGAGGATTGTGGTCCCGGATAGGTCGTATTTGCATGCAGACCACCCTAGGTAACTACCGCATATGATGCTGAGTCTCCACGATTGAAAGATTTGAAATCCAATACATAGGTGTAGACCACTTACGAACCTCCTGAGCCCTGGCTGAAAAACTCCCAGGGGGTCATATGACCGCATCCTGCCTTGTTGCTAGGACGTTGCTAAGAGACTCCCAGCTGTTACCGGTCACCTCCATCAATGTGGGAGTGAGCTCTTTCTCTGATTCAAACCCCTTCACATGCGCTCTCTCCCCATAGCAGTAGCTCTGAGTTCAGCATTTCAGAACTTTCTCCTGGGATAGTGGAGATGAACAGTAACAGCTGGGAGTCTCTTAGCAACGTCCTAGTAACAAGGCAGGACAGGATGCCATCTTTGGGAGTTTTTAGTCAGGCTTTAGGAGGTAGGTAAATGGCCTACACCTATGGCAAGAGCATTATTCAGCCTTGGTCAAAGCTGCTGTTTTTATCTACAGACGCCTCTTACCTGCACAGGTAGTTTTTTTGGTAAAGGTGAACTGTGCCTTTACCTAAATATAACAATTGGAGTTGAACCCAAGCTTTAACTCTTTTTTTTCTCTCCAGGCTATGACATGAATGATCAAGACTCTTGTGATTCAGCCACGACATCTGGAGCTACATGCCTTCCATTTGATGAGTATGGGCAACTAGCAGACAAACCCAAACAGTTCATCTGCTCGGAGTGTGGCAAGGGGTTCAGCCTCTACTCCTATCTCACCAAACACCAGCGTTGCCACTCGGACGAGAAGCCTTTCACTTGCATCGAGTGTGGCAAGTGCTTCCGATACAAGCCCAGCCTGGTCGCCCACCAGCGCGTCCACACCGGCGAGAAGCCGTTCTCCTGCACAGAGTGCGGCAAGCTCTTCGTCACCAAGTTCAACTTGAAGGCCCACGCCAAGGTCCACACTGGAGAGAAGCCGGTGGAGTGTCCAGCATGCGGCCGGTGCTTCAGCAACAACCCAGCTCTGGTGAAGCATCTCCGGATCCACACGGGCGAGAAACCCTTCTCCTGCACCGTCTGCGGCAAGGTCTTCGCCAGCCGCTCCTGCTTGAACGCTCACCAAGTAATCCACACAGGCGAGCGCCCGTACATGTGTGCCGAATGCGGCAAGGCCTTTGCCAACCAGTCCAACCTCATCTCCCACCGGATCATCCACACCGGCCAGAAGCCTTACATCTGCCCGGAGTGCGGCCGCGGCTTTGCAAACCAGTCCAACCTGGCCAAACACAAAATGACCCACACGGACCACAAGCCCTTTGTCTGCATAGAGTGCGGCAACGTCTTCGCCAGGAAGGAGGGCCTAGCCAAACATTTTGAAAGGATACACAAGAAGAAACTAGAATTCTGAGGATAAAAGAATATTTTAGAAGTGTTTTTCTAAATGCTGGTACGCGTGAAACCTCGACACGCATTCTTGTAGTTTTCTCCCCAACTTGGCCTTCTTTATTTGGACCAAGAGAAAGCAGAGACTGGCTGATGAACACGGGTCATCCAAATCAGGAATGACGTTTGAGCAAGAATTCAGTTTGAATCCAGTTATGACCCGTTTAAATCCCGCTTCATTCAGTTTTATTCCAGCGTTGACGGACAAGTTGACATTTTTTTTTTCATCTTCACTCAAAGTGAAACAAGTGAGAGTGGATTAAAAAAAAAAAAAAACATTCAGCAGTTTTACATTTCCCAGAGAGGGCAACATGTAACGCCGACATTCATGCAAACGCAAATTTGGAGGAGACAAAAGCAGGTGGTGTTGAAAGGGATGAAAATCTGAAGATCTACCTTAGGATCAGTAGCTCTCTGCGGCTTCCACCTCTGCTGGGAGGAAAAAATGCAATGGTGGGGAGTAATTACGAACGTGCCAGCTTGGGGATGGTTTATTCTCTTTCTTCAACTCGGTGGCCGCTTAAAACAGCCGCACAATGCTGCAGAAGTAGACCGTTTACCTACTGGTGAGAAGATCCTCATGGACAGAAAGAAGTCTTCACAGACTGCTCACGGCTTGGCTTCATGGATTACCGATGTCTTTTTTTTTTTTTTTTTTGTTCCATATTGGCGAGCAGGCGGTACATAGGCAGCATGTGAGGTTATGTCATAGAAGAGTTTGATATTACGCGCACAAATTCAAATTTTAAAGCTGAAGGCCAAATCTGGGCACCAAGTCCAACGTGATCTCCTTCGGCCAGCTCTTCTCTCGTTCTCATAACACGGAAGTAGAACAGTAACTTCTACTAGTCTACCAGCTCTTACACTCTCGCGTCTTCATCACTGGCACCAGACTCTCCCAAAATCTGATCTCCTAGCTGGGTATCATGAAGCACAGGATGGAGGAGGCACTTATACAAGTCTTCTAGAAAAAAAAAATACACTAAAACATTCGTTGTTGGAGGAAAACAAGTGCAGCGAGAACATTTCCTCCCATTTCTCGACATTCTGTCTGCTGCTAAAACCGCCTGGTGCACTTTAACTGCTACTAAAGCTGGATGGCTGGCTCATGGCAGAAGTTTGCCAGCATGCTGGAAAACACAATCAGCGGACAGATCCTTCTTATACAGAGAAAGCTCAGCTGTCAGGATTTGTTCCTTGTACATCTAACAACTATGGTAACCTAATCATCTGCAGAACCACCCAACCAAGTTGGCCCGGCGCCTCCGATTTTTTTTTATTGCCCCCTTCCCTCTCAAGAAATATCGACATTTGACACACATGCTTCTTGTCTAGGAAATTTTAGGTTTTGTATATGAACTGCTAAAGATGAATCGTGAGAGGTGACCCCCCTGTTAAAGGGTCAAAAAGTATGAAAATGTCTATTTTTAAAAAAAAAAAAAGAGATAATAATGGTCGGCTACAAAATACTGTAAGAAGGGGTTGGCTCTCCAAGGTCCAGGCAAAGCCGCCTCTCAAAAGTCCAGTCTGCCCACATCTGTAGGCACGGATACTGGTCGTATGGAGCTCAGCTGCGCTCCCCACACGTCACAAAGAGACCGGGCGCGCGCTCTGATGACATCATTGGTAAAGCTTTATTGTTCTAGACCAGGGGTGTCAAACTGGTGGCCCTCCAGGTGTTGCAAAACTACAAGTCCCATCATGTCTTTGCCTTTGGGAGTCACGCTTTTAAGTGTCAATCCTGCAATGTCTCATGGGACTTGTAGTTTGGCAACAACTGGAGGGCCGCCAGTTTGACACCCATGATCTAGGGCATGGTTGCTGAACCTGTGGCCCTCCAGGTGTTGCAGAACTACAAGTCCCATCATGCCTCTGCCTTTGTGAGTCATGATTGTAACTGTCAATCTTGCAATGCCTCATGGGACTCGTAGTTTGGCAACAGCTGGAGGGCCACCAGTTTGACACCCGTGTTCTAGACAATGACAGAGGGTTTGATTTACTAAAACCGGAGAGCGCAAAAACTGGTGCAGCTCTGCATGGAAGCCAATCATCTTCCAGTTTTTTTTTTTTGTCAAAGCTTAATTGAACACGGTGAAGTTAGATTCTGATTGGCTACCATGCACAGTTGCACCAGATTTTGCACTCTCCAGTTTTAGTGAATCAATCCCAGAACGTCTGTGTTAGACCTTCCTCACATATATCACCTAGAAAGAACGTATGGGGTTAAAAAAAAAAAACCATACTCACCTAGTTGGATTCAGCATCAATCTCAGCTCTAAGATCGAGAACAGAGCGATCAAACACCGCTGATTGCTCAGTTCTCAGTCTCCGGCAGACCGGCTCTCTCTTCCTCAGCACTCCCTGGAGCGCTGGGCTGTGGAGGAGGCGGGAGCGCGGCTGGCTCAGGCTCTCAGTGGCCTGCTGCCTGTCCAGGCATCTTGGTGGCCATCCATATTCCCATCGCACACATTCCTGGAAGAGGCTCTAGGATACTGGGTGCTGCAGCAACCACTAGCTGGAGAATGGATCGTGCATGACACCGTGTAGATCTTTGCCAGCACACCACAGATCTTCAAGTGGAGTCCAAAAATTTTTTTATTGAAAGTACGATCACATCACAAACAAGAGAGTGCAATGTTTCAGAGTCACGCAGGACCCCTTTGTCAGGGATGTAATGAGGAAGGGGTTCTGCATGACTCCAAAACATTGTACTCCTTTTTGATGCGATCATACTTCCAATAAAACATGGTTTGGACTTAACTTGAAGTTCTGTGACGTGCTGGCAAATATCTACACTGTGTCAGGCGTCTGGGTGGATCCTGACATTAAAGTCTGGATCTCTCCAGAGTCTGGACAGGCTCTGTGATGTCAGCTTTAGCCCACTGTCGACTAGAACCGGGCCACAGGAGTGCAGAATGAAGTGCACTCCTGTGAACCATAGGAGAAGTACCGCCAAAATTGCCTTGGCTATGAACCTCCTTTAGTTCAGTATTACTGTGCCACTTCCCAGAAGAAATGTGAGTGAGGAGGGTCTGGGTGGACCTTCTGTGCTAGTGTCAAGAACGATAAAGTTTTAGCAATGCTAATGTCATTGGAGTTCAGCCACTGCTTGTTTTTGTCCTACGGCGGTCAGGCCACCCAATGCTGCATCTTAAAGAGAACCAGACAAGATCGGGCTTACGCAGTACTTGCTCCCTAGTTGGTTTGAGGCAAGGTTCACATCTCCGCGTTCCTGCAAGCCACGTTTTGCACGGGGACGAGAGCCCATTAACCCCTTAGCGCCGGCGCCTCCCAGCCCTTTAAGGGTTTCAGGAGGCGGGGCGGGGTTTAGAGTCATGTGACCGCCGTGACACGATGTCACATGATCGGGAAAGGTCCTAATCTCCTCTTTCGATCGGGACCTTTCCGTGAGTACCGGACATGTGTGCTTGGAGCTCGCTCTGAGCACATATCTTTTTTTAATAAAACGCAAATGTGCAGCCGCTCGGCGTCTAGGCCCAGACGCTGGAGGCCGCACATTTGCGTTTCGGCCGACGCCAAGAGGTTAATTTGAATGGACTCCCGTGCCCCGGGACATGCAGGGAAGAAGTTCCTGCATTTCTTTGGAAAACGCAGCCTGCACAGGAACTGAGGTTCCCAGTACGGTTGTGAATTCCAGTGCGGGCGGCGTGCCATTAGAATTAATGGCACCCGCCTGCGGGTCCGCATTCCTCTGTGCGGTGGTGTGGCTGCATGGATTTTTGTGCGGATCCGCAGCGGCACCACCCGCACAGATGTGAACCTAGCCAAACTGTGCAGGCGTACTGCAGAGAACAACTTTGGAGCTGGGAGTCAACGTTGGTCTGATAGCTGCATCTGCTGGACCTTGTGCTGATAAGTCATACTGCCCTCCTGGTTCCTGAGTATGCACGACACCATCAGATACCAGAACTCTACTGCTGCAAGCTGTCTTCCAACCCCTGAGTGCACACAGCAGAATCAATAGTCCTTTAAATTAAAGTGGAACTCCTACCTAACACTAGTTATTCTTAACCTCTTCCCCGCAGTGGTGACGGCCTTTTGGTGGGTGGGCTTTAACACATATGTAGTGGTGGTGGCCTCTTGGTGGGTGGGCTTTAACACATATGTGGTAGCGGCCTCTTGGTGGGTGGGCTTTAACACATATGTGGTGGCTGCCTCTTGGTGGGTGGGCTTTAACACATATGTGGTGGTTGCCTCTTGGTGGGTGGGTTTTTAACACATATGTGGTAGCGGCCTCTTGGTTGGTGGGCTTTAGCACATATGTGGTGGCAGCCTGTTGGTGGGTGGGCTTTTACACATATGTGGCCCTATGTAAACAACAGTCTGTGCTGAGAGCGCACGCACAGATATGGTTGGGGACCGGAAAGCTCCCACTGCATACTAGTGATCGGAAGCTTTCCAACCATGTGACCTCTGTGACAGCTAATCACAGTGGTCACACAACCCAAGGGCCTGCCTCCCAGCATTTAAAAGCTCTTAAAGGGCCGGGAGGCGTTTATAAATGTCCCCTCCTGCTACCTCTTCTGTATAAAAAAAGATGTGTATACTTACTTTTTTTTTTTGTCTGCTCCTGGTCACGTGATCGTCTGGGTGAGACAATTGATGGGGAGAGATGGGAGCATTTGACGACAGCTAGGAATTCTGGGAGCTGTGATGTCATTCATAGGCCTCCCGTCATTCGTAGGTCCTCCTCTTCCCTGCAGCCACTGCTTACTGACACGGGACGCAAAGCTGCAGGATCACATGACCAGACCGGACTTAAAAAAGGTAGAAGTATATAGATGTTTTTTTATACAGGTTAGGCAAGATAGGTAGCAGGAGGGGGGGGAAGGGACATTTTTAATCATAGTTATTGTTAGGCAGAATTTCCACTTTAAATGACTATGGATTCTGCTGTGTGCACTCGGGTTGGGAGGCAGCTTGTATTATACAACTGATGTATGTCATTTGACATGTAAATATATATCGTACCTTGGGGGGGGGGGGAGCCTCTCAGTGCTGACTTTCAGCTCCAAAGTTGTCTTTCAACAAAGTTAAAGCGGAGCTCCACCCAAAAGGGGAATTTCCATTTTAAGTCTTTGTCCCCCCGCTCTCCATTAAGGATTGGCACCTTTGGGAAGCGGGTACCTGAATTTGACAGGTATCCGCTCCCACTTCTGCTGCGATCGCCTAGGCAAGTGGAAGTTGTCCCCCCGTAGTCTTCTGGAACACATGACAGGTCCCAGAAGACTATGGGGCCATTCACAAAGCACAGAGCTTCTCGCACATGCGCAGCCGCAAGCTGTCACAGCCGGGTGCCCACACTGAAGATGCCGGCTCCGGGGAGAGAAGACGGCCGGTGAAACCAGCGGTGGTGAGGACACCGCTGAACTGAGGGACATCTAAGTGTCTGTATTTTAAAAGTCAGCAGCTACATCTTTTGTAGCTGCTGACTTATTTTTTTCATGTGAAACTCCACTTTAATGCAGGCCATACATGGGTTGAATTGCGAACAATAGAAAATGTTTGCTCGGTAATCCAATGGCGCCATCAATTATTTCGAAAATTGGCTGACCAAGGCATTAAGTTCACCCCATATAAACGGGTGAAACTTCTGTTCCTTCCAGGTCACGGCTCATGTGCATACTCTTTTCGGAAAAACGATTGTACGATTTTACCACCATTGAGTCGAAAAATCGGTATTTTTTTCACAAATTTTCCAACATGCCTGATCCCCGAAAAGGGGAGGAACCACGAAAATTGGCCGGTGCCATTGACCCACTAACAGAGCGAAAATTGGCTGATTCTTAGGTCCGATTTTTGACCCATGTATGGCCGGCATAAGTTTACCTGTCGGATAATGGGACCTTTTTAGGGTCTACTTTCAGAAAACTCTAAAGACGCCGTTTTTTTTTCCGTGTGAGACACGCAAGCCCATCAGGAGCGCTCCATCAAGTCCTATTTATGTATATATAAGACATTTACAGTATTTTTACTATTTATCAAGAAGAGGACTCTTGGTGAGCTACGTCTTTCACACCTTGACCACACATTGGCTACAAACAGTTCGGTGCTATGTGACGGTGGAGAGACCTCAGCCGAGATCTTGCAGGATGACGACGAGCAATCCAACTAGTGTCAAGTCTTGACTCCATTCCCTTGCGGTGCTGCGGCTGAAAGCACTCCCTCCTGCTCTTGCACTTTGCGGCCGAGTGTTGCTGGCCTTTGTTTCCTCCGTTAATTCCTAGGTAGAATCTTCTAGGTGACTTGCTGCCAGTTTTCTGTGCCTGGTAACCTCTACTGGATTTGCTATGCAGTGGCAGCTCAACCAAAAAGCTTGGTTTGGGCACAGCCTGGCTGGAATCCTGGACATTTGTCAAGAACGAGGGATTACTCCACCTTGACCAATGTCCAAACGATCAGCTGAGGGTCATCTTAAAACAGGTGCAGGTGCTCTCCTTTGTGTTTTAACAGGCAATCATGTACGGAGATCGGAAGTCCTTCAAGGAACCCCTTACCCTCTTGTATGCAGTCTCTTATGAAGAGATAACTCGGCGCGGATTCCATCTTTTGGCTGGTGGTCTTCACTGGGAGTCTGTTGTAACCCTCCTTGCCTCTATGTGACAGTTAAGCCATCTGTGCCGATAATGCTCTCACTCCGCTTTTATTTGTATCATGCAAAGTGTGTCTTTGTGAATAAAGGCTGGAAATTGGATCCGGGTGGTTTTCTTGTTGCACATAAAAAGGTCAAATAGAGTAAGTCGCTACGATGTGAATGTGGATGGGGGGAGATGATATGGATCTGGGTGAACAGACAGGAATGACATTCTTCACGTGATCATGGCTCTAGTTCTGTGTTGGGTGGTGGCAATCCAGTAGCATCATGACAGGTCTCCTTTTAAAGTGGAACTAGAGGCAAACTTTTTTTTTTCCCCATTTTGGATAGAGCAGGGGAGTTTCCCCTTTGTTTCCTCCCTTTATTTCCTAGGTAGAATCTGCTAGATGGCTCGCTGCAGTTTTTCTGTGCCTGGTGACCTCTATTGGATTCGCCATGCAGTGGCAGCTCAACCAAAAAGCTTGGTTTGGGCACAGCCTGACTGGGATCCTGGACAACGAGGGATTACTCGACCTTGACCAATGTCAAAATGATCAGCTGAGGGTTGTCTTAAAACAGTTGCAGCTGAGGGTTGTCTTAAAACGGTATAACCCTGGTCAGATTTTTTTTTTTCTCCCAAGACGGAGATTTCTCTTCAATTAATGTCCCATAGCCAAACTGGAAGTGAGAGGAAATCCTTGCAAATTAATGGAATTCCCTGGGGACCTCCAGGTCACCAGAACTAGTGTCCCCATTGGAACATTTCTCCTCTATTACTTTTCTGGGGACAACTCATATTTTTGTGATTTTCTTTTACGTTCACTTTCAATGATAATGGTAAACAGGACAAAGAGAGAGGGGGGGGGTCTCCTTAACCGCTTGATGACCATAATACGTAGATAGACGTTGCCGTTTTTAAGTGGTTTACCAGGGTTATGGCTGAAGATATCAGGAGGAGAGCTGGTACAAATGGGCAAGACTGAAATGAAGACTAGAGTTCAGCTGTAACCAGGTAATGGTAATTATTGGCCAGCTCTTTCTAACAGCAGCTTAGGCCCCGTCCTTGTCATTCTGACACATTCCCGTTCGCCACCCATATCTTGTTTTCTTCAGGACCTGCCTCATATCGAATCCAAGGTAAATTACTAACAGTACAAAAATTATCATACAACAAAATACAGGGACCAGCCAAAATTTCGATCCATGTATGGTCAGAGAGGTTGTACAGATTTACCGATCAAGTTCTGTACAACCACCCTGTTGGATTTTCCCCGCTCAATCAGTGCTGCAGGCTACAGCCTGAAATGCTGATCAGTGTATTCTGACAGCGAGTAAGTCTCCCTGCTGTCAGAATAATCGCTATGTGGGTGGCCGGGAGAATCAAGTCAGTTTTTTTTTTTTTCTGTTCAACCTGCTGCCCTATGCGGGCTGCTTAGTAACTCCAGTCAATGCGTGCAGGACATCCTCAAAATTAAGGACACCCCCCCCCCATCCATCCTCCAGCAGCAGACCACACGATCGGATCCCTAACAAGGGGTAAGCTCCATCTGCAGCTGGCTCCCTGTTGCTTAGAAACCGAGTCAGAGATCACAGTCTCGGCAAGAGCTGCTGGAAAGCGTCAAGGTGTGTACAGCCCTGGCCAAAAGTTTTGAGAATCACACAAATATTAATTTTTACAAAGTCTGCTGTTTCTGTGTTTTTAGATCTTTTTCTCAGATGTTACTATGGTATACTGAAGTAGAATTACAAGCATTTCACAAGTGTCAAATGCTTGTATTGATAATGACATGAATATTTGCAGTGTTAACCCTTCAAGACCTTCAACCCTTTCAAGACCTCTGCAGTTCCTCCTGGCATGCTGTCAATCAACTTCTGGGTAACATCCGACTGACGGCAGCCCATTGTTGCATAATCAATGCTTGTCGGTATTTGTGGGGTATTTTTTTGTTCAACCTCTTGAGGATTGACCACAATTTCTCAATGGGATTAAGGTCTGGGGAGTCTCTTGACAATAGACCCAAAAGTTCGATGTTTTGTTCCCGAAGCTATCACTTTTGCCTTATGGCAAGGTGCTCCATCGTGCTGGAAAAGGCATTGTTCCTCACCAAACTGTTTTTGGATGGTTGGGAGAAGTTGCTCTCGGGGTATGTTTGCGGACCATTCTTTATTCATGGCTGTGTTCGAGTATTGCGAGTGGGCCTGCTCCCTTGGCTGAGAAGCGACCCCACACATGAATGGTCCCAAGCTGCTTTACTGTTGGCATGATACAGGACTGATGGCAGCGCTCACCTTTTCTTCTCCGGACAAAGTTTTTTCCTGATACCAATCAATCGGAAAGGGGATTCATCAGAAAAAAAATGACTTTCCCCCAGTCCTCAGCAGTCCAATCCCTGGACCTTGTGCAGATTATCAGTCCATCCCTGATGTTTTTCCTGGAGAGAAGTGACTTCTTTGCTGTCCTTTTTGACACCAGGCCATCCTCCAAAAGTCTTCAACTCACTGTGCGTGCAGATGCATCACACCTGCCTGCTCCAATTCCTGAGCAAGCTCTGCACTGGTGGTGCTCTGATCCCACAACTTAACTATAGAAGACTGTCCTGGCGCTTGCTGGACTTTCTTGGGTGCTCTGAAGCCTTCTTCACAACAATTGAACCTCTCCTTGAAATTCTTGATGATCCGATACAGTGCATCCGGAAAGTATTCACAGAGCTTAACATTTGCCACATTTTGTTATGTTACAGCCTTATTCCAAAATGGATTAAATTAATTTTTTCCCTTAACATTCTACAAACAATACCCCATAATGACGTGAAAGAAGTTTGTTTTGAAATCTTTATTAACTAGTTGCCGACCGCAGATAGCCGAATGACGGCTTCACTGCGGCCGGCCAGTTCTGGGTGGACGTCATATGACGTCCCCCCAGAACGCGCTCTCCTGCGCGCCCGGGGGGCGCGCACCCGGCGATCTCCGTGATCGCTGTGTCTTACGGACACAGCTGATCACGAGATGTGGTAAAAGGCCGATCATACCGGCCTTTTACCACGTGATCAGCGGTGTCCAATGACACGCTGATCACAGGGAAATGCAAGTGCCGGTTCTCGGCTGCACTTTCCTCACGCTGTCAGATCGTGAGGAAAGTACTGCCGAGAACCGGCAGTTGTCAGAGCGAGGATCGGCACCGATCATCAGGGCCACTGATGATCAGTGCCCTGATGATCGGTGCCCAGCAGTGCCACCCACAAGTTCCGCCCACCTGTGCCCAGCAGTGCGCCCACTAGCTCCGCCCACCTGTGCCCAGCAGTGCACCCACCTGTGCCCAGCAGTGCACCCACCTGTGCCACTCTGCAGTGTCACACACCTGTGCCCAGAAGTGCCACCTACCTGTGCCCAGCAGTGCCACCCACCTGTGCCCACCAGTGCCACCCACCAGTGCAGCCCAGCAGTGCTGCCAGTCAGTGCCCAGCGGTTGTGCCAGTCAGTGCCCAGCAGTGATGCCAGTCGGTGCCATCTATCAGTACCCATCATCAGTGTCACCTATCAGTGCCGCCTATCAGTGCTGCATATTAGTGCCGCCTATCCGTGACACCCCATTAGTGCTGCCTATCAGTGCCGCCTATCCGTGCCACCTCATTAGTACTGCCTATCAGTGCCCTTTAGTGCCGCCTATCAGTGCCCATCAGTGCTGCCTCATCAACGCACATCAGTGAAGGAGAAAAAATACCTGTTTGAAAAATTTTATGATAGAAACAAAGAAACTTTTTTTTTTTTTTTTCAAATTTTTTGCACTTTTTTAATTTATAGCGCAAAAAGTAAAGTGCCCAGTGGCGATTAAATACCACCAAAAGAAAGCTCTATTTGTGAGAAAAAAATGATCAAAATTTCATATGGATACAATGTTGCATGACCGCGCAATTGTCAATCAAAGTGCGGCAGCGCTGAAAGCTGAAAATTGGCCTGGTAAGGAAGGGGGTATAAGTGCCTGGTAGGCAAGTGGTTAAAAAAGAAAAACAAACAAACATGTACATAAGTATTCACAGCCTTTGCCATGACACTCAAAATTGAGCTCTGATGCATCCTGTTCCCACTGATCATCCTTGAGATGTTTCCACAACTTGATTGGAGTCCACCTGTGGGAAATCCAGTGGATTGGACATGATTAGGAAAGGCATAAACCTGTCTATATAAGGCCCCCAGGTAACAGTGCATGTCAGAGCACAAAACCAAGCCATGAAGTCCAAGGAATTGTCCGTAGACCTCTGAGACAGGATCGTATCAAGGCACAGATCTGGGGAAAGGTACAGAAAAATTTCTGCAGCATTGAAGGTCTCAATGAGCACTGTGGCCTCCATCATCTGTAAATGGAAGAAGTTTGGAACCACCATGAATCTTCCTACAGTGGGCTACCCAGCCAAAATGAGCAATCGAGGGAGAAGGGCCTTAGCCAGGGAGGTAACCAAGTCACTCTAAAAGAGCTCCAGTGTTTCTCTGTGGAGAGAGGAGAACCTTCCAGAAGAACAACCCTCTCTGCAGCACTCCACCAATCCGGCCTGTATGGTAGAGTGGCCAGACGGATGCCACTCCTCAGTAAAAGGTAAATGGCAGCCCGCCTGGAGTTTGCCAAAAGGCACCTGAGGGACTCTCAGACCACGAGAAACAAAACTCTCGGGTCTGATGAAACAAACATTGAACTCTTTGGCCAGAATGCCAAGTGTCATGTCTGGAGGTAACCAGGCACTGCTTACCACCTGGCCAATGCCATCCCTACAGTGAAGCATGGTGGTGGCAGCATCATGCTGTGGGGATGTTTTTCAGCGGCAGGAACTGGGAGACTAGTCAGGATGGAAGGAAAGATGAATGCAGCAATGTACAGAGACATCCTGGATGGAAACCTGTTCCAGAGCGCTCTTGTCCTTAGAGTGGGATGACTGTTCATCTTTCAACAGGACAACGACCCTAAGCACACAGCCCACATAACAAAGGAGTGGCTACGGGCCAACTCTGTGAATGTCCTGGAGTGGCCCAGCCAAACCCCAGACTTGAAATCGATTGAACATCTCTGGAAAGATCTGAAAATGGCTGTTCACCGACACTCCCCATCCAACCTGATGGAGCTTGAGAGGTCCTGCAAAGAAGAATGGGAGAAATTGTCCAAAAATAGGTGTGCCAAGCTTGTAGCAGCATACTCCAAATGTCAGGAATGGACTGGCCAGCAATGGTGGGACTCACCTGCCTTTTGATCTGCAGTACCAGGGCTGGCCAGCGGGTGCTACCAGCAATCAGAGACTCAACCTTTCAGCCAGCTAACACCTGGAACTGATGATACTGGTGTATTTAAGGGATGGCCAGACTTGCAGACTCTGCCTTGGTGTTGTGTTTGTCCTGGGCCCTGTATCTGTCCTGCATCCTGTATCCTGTTCCTGCTCTCTGTTCCTGTCTGATTCTCTGCTGACCCTGTTCTGATCCCTGGCTTGTGACCCTGACCATCCCTCTGCCTGACCCTCTGTACCACGCTGCTTGCTACCTGTTCTGATCCCTGGCTTGTGACCCTGACCATCCCTCTGCCTAACCCTCTGTACTACGCTGCTTGCTACCTGCTGAACCTGGCCTGTGACCCCGACCATCTCCGCTTGCTCCCCCTGTACCTACCTGCCCTATTGATATTGACCCGGCCTGCCTGACGACGCTTGCTTGTTTGTACTGTTATCTGTGGGTGGTTGGTTTGGTTTGTTTGCACTGTATTATGTTTTAGTATTGCACTGCGTTTATGGTTGTATTGTTAGTGTTAATAAATTACATTGTTTATCACATATCTGAAGTCTGCGTTTCCCTGCGTCAGTCACACATCTCTGGTCACACCTGGGAGCCCTGACATTACACCAAGGCCAATCCTGACCAGAAGTGGCTGCACAGGGAAGCCATCTTGGCTTGTTGATGGGAAGGATGGATCTGGATGAAGTTGAGTATTTATCTCTGCTAGTGCTTGATGACAGAGAGTATGCTTATCAGACTCTGAAGGAGTATCCCCGGGATGAACTGCTAGAATGTATACGGCTCGCTCATGTTCTAGTAGATCAGGGCACAGATTTCTCTATGGTGCAGCCATTGATTCAGGTTTGTGTTGAGTTGGTTTCATCTGGTTCCCCCGAATGCAGGGATGAATTTTTGCCACCATTTAGTGCAGACCAGGTAGAGTCCCTGGTATGGTTATTAGAGGATGATGTGGGTTACTTTCTGGAGCGTTATTCCACATGTTCACCACAGACACTAAGAGATTGTATAAACGCAGTGCAGTCATTGACCAGACAGGCTTTGTGTAAGCTCAGCTTTGTTCAACCCTACTGCAGACATGGACAGACTTGTTGCACCCAGCCTCAGTCAGCTTACAAAGACCCAGTCCTGCTTCTAACTCTACTCCTGTATTCCCAACAGCTCCTCCAGTTACAGCCCAGTATACTTGGCTATCTACCGCATGTCAGTACCCTGTTCCCACTCGCTGCACCTATCCTGCCTTTAACCCTGTAAAAAAGCCCTCTGTAGCAACTGCTCCCTCTTCTGTTCCATCCTCCAGTTCTTCTCTGTCTCCAGCTGCCCCATTCGTTTGCAGACCTGCGTTTACTTGCAGTGCTCCAGTAGTTAAAACCAGAAAAAAACGAAAATTCTTTCCAACCAATACCATCCTGCCAGTATCCAAACCGGTGAACCTGCCTTCCGTGACTCGGCCTGAAGCCTCTACTCGGCCTGAAGCCTCTACTCGGCCTGATGCCTGTACTCAGCCTGCCTCTCTTCAGCCTGATGCCTCTACTCAGCCTGATGCCTCTACTCAGCCTGAAGCCTCTACTCGGCCTGAAGCCTCTACTCGGCCTGAAGCCTCTACTCGGCCTGAAGCCTCTACTCAGCCGGACGCCGGCATTCAGCCTGATGCCTCTACCCAGCATGATGAACTGATCCAGCCTGACGATCCTATTAGGCCAGTTGACTCGATGCCCGCTGTTGATCCAGATGATCCGGTACCTGATCCGGTGCCCGCTGTCGTGCCAATTGACTCAGAGCCCGCTGTCGTACCTGGTGACTCGGTGCCCACTGCCTTGCCAGATGACGCGGTGCCCGCTGGCGAGCCAAATGACCTGATGCCTGGTGACCCAGTGCCCGCTGTCATACCTGGTGACCCGATGCCCGCTGTCGAGCCAGACGATCCAATGCCTGGTGACCCGGTGCCCGCTGTCAAGCCAGACAATCCGGTACCTGATGACCCGGTGCCCACTGTCGTGCCTGTTGACTCGGAGCCCACTGCCTTGCCAGATGACGCGGTGCCCGCTGTCGAGCCAAATGACCTGATGCCTGGTGACCCGATGCCCGCGTCCAGTCAGACAATCCAATGTCTGACCCAGTGCCCGCGGTCATACCAGTTGACTCGGAGCCCACTGCCTTGCCAGATGACGCGGTGCCCACTGTCGAGCCAAATGACCTAATGCCTGGTGACCCAGTGCCCGCTGTCATAACTGGTGACCCGATGCCCGCTGTCGAGCCAGACAATCCGGTACCTGATGACCCGGTGCCCACTGTCGTGCCTGTTGACTCGGAGCCCACTGCCTTGCCAGATGACGCGGTGCCCGCTGTCGAGCCAAATGACCTGATGCCTGGTGACCCGATGCCCGCTGTCCGGCCAGACGATTCAATGTCTGCCCCAGTGCCCGCGGTCATGCCAGTTGACTCAGAGCCTACTGCCTTTCCAGATGACGCGGTGCTCGCTGTCGAGCCAAATGACTTGATGCCTGGTGACCCGATGCCCGCTGTCCAGTCAGACGATCCAATGTCTGACCCAGTGCCCGCGGTCATACCAGTTGACTCGGAGCCCACTGCTTGCCTTGCCAGATGACGCAGTGCCCGCGGTCGAGCCAAATGACCTGATGCCTGGTGACCCGATGCCCGCTGTCCAGCCAGACGATCCAATGTCTGACCCAGTGCCAGCGGTCATGCCAGTTGACTCGGAGCCCACTGTCGTGCCTGGTGACTCGGCGCCCGCCGCTCCGCCTGAGGGCCCGAGACCTGTCGCTCCACCTGGGGGTCCGGCGCCCGCCGCTCCGCCTGAGGGCCCGAGACCTGTCCCTCCATCTGGGGGTCCGGCGCCCGCCGCTCCGCCTGGGGGCCCGAGACCTGTCGCTCCGCCTGAGGGCCCGAGACCTGTCGCTCCACCTGGGGGTCCGGCGCCCGCCGCTCCACCTGGGGGTCCGGCACCCGCCGCTCCGCCTGAAGGCCCGAGACCTGTCGCTCCGCCTGGGGGTCCGGCACCCGCCGCCCCGCCTGGGGGCCCGATGCCTGTCGCCCCGCCTGGGGGCCCGATGCCGGTCGCCCCGCCTGGGGGCCCGGTGCCTGTCGCCCCGCCTGGGGGCCCGGTGCCTGTCGCCCCGCCCGGGGGCCCGGTGCCTGTCACCCCGCCCGGGGGCCCGGTGCCTGCCGCTCCGCCCGGGGGCCCGGTGCCTGCCGCTCCGCCTGGTGGCCCACTGCCTGCTGCTTCGCCTGGTAATCCGATGTGCCTCTGCCCGGAGTCCTGCCCGATGTGCCTCTGCCCGGAGTCCTGCCCGATGTGCCTCTGCCCGGAGTCCTGCCCGATGTGCCTCTGCCCGGAGTCCTGCCCGATGTGCCTCTGCCCGGAGTGCCTCTGCCCGGAGTGCCGCTGCCCGGAGTCCAGCCCGGAGTCCTGCCCGGTGTGCCAGTCTTTGATATCCCGCCAGTTACCAGACCCGGGCGGTGGAACATTTTGCCCAGCTAGGACTGTTTGGAGCGTCCTGAGGCCGCTCCTTGAGGGGGGGGTACTGTCAGGAATGGACTAGCCAGCAATGGTGGGACTCACCTGCCTTTTGATCTGCAGTACCAGGGCTGGCCAGCGGGTGCTCCCAGCAATCAGAGACTCAACCTTTCAGCCAGCTAACACCTGGAACTGATGATACTGGTGTATTTAAGGGATGGCCAGACTTGCAGACTCTGCCTTGGTGTTGTGTTTGTCCTGGGCCCTGTATCTGTCCTGCATCCTGTATCCTGTTCCTGTCTGATTCTCTGCTGACCCTGTTCTGATCCCTGGCTTGTGACCCTGACCATCCCTCTGCCTGACCCTCTGTACCACGCTGCTTGCTACCTGTTCTGATCCCTGGCTTGTGACCCTGACCATCCCTCTGCCTAACCCTCTGTACTACGCTGCTTGCTACCTGCTGAACCTGGCCTGTGACCCCGACCATCTCCGCTTGCTCCCCCTGTACCTACCTGCCCTATTGATATTGACCCGGCCTGCCTGACGACGCTTGCTTGTTTGTACTGTTATCTGTGGGTGGTTGGTTTGGTTTGTTTGCACTGTATTATGTTTTAGTATTGCACTGCGTTTATGGTTGTATTGTTAGTGTTAATAAATTACATTGTTTATCACATATCTGAAGTCTGCGTTTCCCTGCGTCAGTCACACATCTCTGGTCACACCTGGGAGCCCTGACACCAAATGACTTGAGGCTGTAATTAGTGCTAAAGGGGCTTCAACAAAGTATTGAGCAAAGGCTGTGAATACTCATGTACATGGGGTTTTTTATTTTTAATAAATTGCAAAGATTTCAAAATTAACTCTTTTCACGTTGTCATTATGGGGTATTGTTTGTAGAATGTGGAGGGAAAAAATTAATTTAATCCGTTTTGGAATAACGCTGTAACATAACAAAATGTGGCAAAAGTTAAGCGCTGGAAATACTTTCTGGGTGCACTGTAAATGTTTGATTTAGGTGCAGTCTTAGTAGCAGCAATATCCTTGTCTATGAATCCCTTTTTGTGGAAAGCAATGATGACTGCATTTGTTTCCTTGCAGGTAACCACGGTTAACAGAACAATGATTTCAAGCACCACCCTCCTTTTAAAGCTTCCGGTTATTCTAACTCAATTGGCATGACAGATTGATCTTCAGCCTTGTCCTTTTTCCTCGGCAACATTGACACCTGCATTAATGAGAGAATCACTGACATTATGTCAACAAATGTGTCACGGTTCCCCCTGAATGGATCCCATGCAGACTGGGTGCAGCTGCTGGACAATGGCCACCCAGTAGAATCAAGACTAGACGACGGGCAAACAGACTGTGCGGGAACACTATGCTGTAACACCGGAAACCCACTGGATCCACTTCCAGGATCTTTCTTGTCACGCTGAACTGTCCTTCCAAAATGTATGCACACAAGATGCTGCGGCCCTGCCGGCACTGGCTGGAAGGGGAACAGGCCCTCACCTTTGAACACGTTATCCAGGCCTTCCTGAAGGAACAGTTCTATACCCAATGCCCCTCATAGGTGCACGAGTGGGTGAAGAAGAGAAACCCTGCCACCCGAGCGGGGCTGCTGCACTGGCAGACGAGGTTCTCACCATCAAGCCACATTGGAAAAAACGTGTGACTGAACCACCTAAGGCCCAGAGCTCTGCCCGACCGCGCCTTGGCCTCCCCACACCACCCTTTTGGCGGCCCATCATGCCAGCTTCGGGGCCCTCTCCAATGCCTTCCTACCCCCCCGACTCTGGGGCCACCCCTGGACCATTGGTGTTATGGGTGCAACCAGACCAGGCACCTCCAGGCCTGCTGTCCCAGGAACCGCTGCCCCAACTGCCCAGTCAACTACATTGAACTACCACCAGAGGATGAGCTGCCTCCCCCACCGCCCAGTGAATGGGTGACCTCCACAAAAGGCCAGTACACCCCGGGGATTCTACAGTGTTCACCCACTTGTCCCTGCCTACACGGAGCAGAGGCAGCGCCACTTGCAAGTAGTCCTGATCGATGGGCCAAGTACCACGGGATTCCAAGACATCGGGGCCTTCCTCACCATCGCTGACTCCCGTGTGGTAAAACCAGAAGCCATCGAACCAGGCCCTGGGTTCTCCATCAAACTAAAGTGAGGAAGGGTTGTAACAGCGCAAACACTGCAAAGTCCTGGGAAATGGTAGTATGGGTGATGGTGGTATTAGTGGCTACTGTATGAAGAGCGTAGGATTCCGTGTGGCACTGAGGGCAAGGCTTCCAAATAAGCTGTAGCAACTTCTGTAGATGAGAAAAAAGGAGAGAAGCGCCTCTAAGTGCAATAAGTCTTTTAATTCAAGTCTAAATGTAGAAACACTCACATGTGTGAAGTAATCATAAGCTTAAAAACCGTGGTTAACAATAGTTAACGGTGGGGTGGTAACCCGGGTGAAGAGCCGTCATCTCTCTGCGATGTGGGGAGGTCAGCTCTCGGCTGGAACAACGTGGTGGCTGGAGGGGGAACAGCGGTGAGGCCAGCCTTCATGCACGTCCTCCCTCAAAGCCGGATGGAACGCACGCTGGAACGTAGCGGCGGCGTGGCCGTGATGACGTCAGATCCCAGGGTGCACTGCGACGCGTTTCAGAGCATGCACTGGCCATGGAAGGCGGAAGTGCACTCCTTTTTCAAGCAGGGGGAAGTGGATGAACAGGGGTGAATATATAGGGAACGTGAGTCTAATTGATCAATTAACCAATTAACCAGTGATTGACCATTGCTGTCAGGTGAATAGTGTAAAGTCATGGATGTTAACTGGGGGGTAAAAGGAAACCAAATGGAAAAAAGAGAGGATGTAATAAATAAGAAAATGGAAGACGAAAGAAAAAAAAAAAAAAAAAAAAAATTATGTTCTGGGAGATTAGTGGGGTAAAATGTTCACCTTGCAGCACTGGCACATCAATTATGTAACAGTAGTGAGCAGATATTTAGTGGTAATACAGCATGATTGCAAGATGATACAGCATGATTGCAAGATGATAAACATATTGGTAATAATACATGCAGATGACATTATAAAAAGTAAATTACATTGTAAAAAATTATAAAAAATAGAATAAAATATAAATAATGAACAAAAGGTTATAAAATAATAAACTAAAAATTGGATTAAAAAAAAAAAGAAATTCGATAAAAAATTTGATTAAAAAATTCGATAAAAAAAATAAATAAATAATTTTATAAAGAAAGGGGGGGGGGGGGAAGTATCATTGTGAGTGTTGAGTGACTGTGAATGGGAGATTGTAGTGTTTATAGTATAGTGTTAATGTCTAATTCCTCGTTGAGTCCGCCTGGGGACAATGTATCTAATGTAAATATCCAATACGTTTCTTGTGAACAGAGTTTTTTTGAAACGATCAGACTCAGAGAGATTGTTGTGTATGGATTCTAAGACCCATACTTGTAGGCCATCAGTGGATTTTTGGTGATATTCAAGGAAGTGGCGGGGGACGCTATGTTTGTCTTTACCATCTTCAATAAGACGTCTGTGCTCGCCAAACCTGGCGCGGAGGGGTCTGATGGTTCGTCCCACATATAGGAGGCTGCAAGGGCAGGATATACAATAGATCACATGATCAGTGGAGCAGTTGTAAAATTCTTTGAATGAATAGGTTTTTCCTTTTGTGGTGAAGTTTTTTTG